GTGTCACAGACTGTAGCTCATTCTTTAAGACCAAAGTGTCACAGACTGTAGCTCCTTCTTTAAGACTAAAGTGCCACAGACTGTAGCTCCTTCTTTAAGACCAAAGTGCCACAGACTGTAGCTCATTCTTTAAGACCAAAGTGTCACAGACTGTAGCTCCTTCTTTAAGACCAAAGTGCCACAGACTGTAGCTCCTTCTTTAAGACTAAAGTGCCACAGACTGTAGCTCCTTCTTTAAGACCAAAGTGCCACAGACTGTAGCTCATTCTTTAAGACCAAAGTGTCACAGACTGTAGCTCATTCTTTAAGACCAAAGTGTCACAGACTGTAGCTCCTTCTTTAAGACTAAAGTGCCACAGACTGTAGCTCCTTCTTTAAGACCAAAGTGCCACAGACTGTAGCTCATTCTTTAAGACCAAAGTGTCACAGACTGTAGCTCCTTCTTTAAGACCAAAGTGCCACAGACTGTAGCTCCTTCTTTAAGACCAAAGTGTCACAGACTGTAGCTCCTTCTTTAAGACCAAAGTGTCACAGACTGTAGCTCCTTCTTTAAGACTAAAGTGCCACAGACTGTAGCTCCTTCTTTAAGACCAAAGTGCCACAGACTGTAGCTCCTTCTTTAAGACCAAAGTGTCACAGACTGTAGCTCCTTCTTTAAGACCAAAGTGCCACAGACTGTAGCTCCTTCTTTAAGACCAAAGTGCCACAGACTGTAGCTCCTTCTTTAAGACCAAAGTGCCACAGACTGCAACTCCTTCTTTAAGACCAAAGTGCCACAGACTGTAGCTCCTTCTTTAAGACCAAAGTGCCACAGACTGTAGCTCATTCTTTAAGACCAAAGTGCCACAGACTGTAGCTCCTTCTTTAAGACCAAAGTGCCACAGACTGTAGCTCATTCTTTAAGACCAAAATGCCACAGACTGTAACTCCTTCTTTAAGACCAAAGTGTCACAGACTGTAGCTCCTTCTTTAAGACCAAAGTGCCACAGACTGTAGCTCCTTCTTTAAGACCAAAGTGCCACAGACTGTAGCTCCTTCTTTAAGACCAAAGTGCCACAGACTGCAACGCCTTCTTTAAGACCAAAATGCCACAGACTGTAGCTCCTTCTTTAAGACCAAAGTGCCACAGACTGTAGCTCCTTCTTTAAGACCAAAGTGCCACAGACTGTAGCTCCTTCTTTAAGACCAAAGTGCCACAGACTGTAGCTCCTTCTTTAAGACCAAAGTGCCACAGACTGTAACTCCTTCTTTAAGACCAAAATGCCACAGACTGTAGCTCCTTCTTTAAGACCAAAGTGCCACAGACTGTAGCTCCTTCTTTAAGACCAAAGTGCCACAGACTGTAGCTCCTTCTTTAAGACCAAAGTGCCACAGACTGTAACTCCTTCTTTAAGACCAAAATGCCACAGACTGTAGCTCCTTCTTTAAGACCAAAGTGCCACAGACTGTAGCTCCTTCTTTAAGACCAAAGTGTCACAGACTGTAGCTCCTTCTTTAAGACTAAAGTGCCACAGACTGTAGCTCCTTCTTTAAGACTAAAGTGCCACAGACTGTAGCTCCTTCTTTAAGACCAACAAAGGAACCATCAGTAACAAAGGAACCATCAGTAACAAAGGTACCATCAGTAACAAAGGCCCTGTCAGACCCTGCTTAAACCAGGACATGTCCAGGTCCGTCTGAAGCTACAGAGCATTTGGAGGATCCAAAAGAAGATTTGGAGAATGAAAAAGCCTTCCAAGGTCCTGGAGCGGCCTTCCAAGGTCCTGGAGCAGCCTTTCAAGGTCCTGGAGCAGCCTTCCAAGGTCCTGGAGCGGCCTTCCAAGGTCCTGGAGCGGCCTTCCAAGGTCCTGGAGCGGCCTTCCAAGGTCCTGGAGCAGCCTTCCAAGGTCCTGGAGCGGCCTTCCAAGGTCCTGGAGCGGCCTTCCAAGGTCCTGGAGCGGCCTTCCAAGGTCCTGGAGCGGCCTTCCAAGGTCCTGGAGCGGCCTTCCAAGGTCCTGGAGCGGCCTTCCAAGGTCCTGGAGCGGCCTTTCAAGGTCCTGGAGCGGCCTTTCAAGGTCCTGGAGCGGCTTTCCAAGATCCTGGAGCGGCCTTTCCAGGTCCTGGAGCGGCCTTCCAAGGTCCTGGAGCGGCCTTCCAAGGTCCTGGAGCGGCCTTCCAAGGTCCTGGAGCTGCCTTTCAAGGTCCTGGAGCGGCCTTTCAAGGTCCTGGAGCGGCCTTTCCAGGTCCTGGAGCGGCCTTTCAAGGTCCTGGAGCGGCCTTTCATGGTCCCGCAGCGGCCTTAAGGTCCTGCAGCGGCCTTTCAAGGTCCTGGAGCGGCCTTTCAAGGTCCTGGAGCGGCCTTTCAAGGTCCTGGAGCGGCCTTTCAAGGTCCTGGAGCGGCCTTTCAAGGTCCTGGAGCGGCCTTTCAAGGTCCTGGAGCGGCCTTTCAAGGTCCTGGAGCGGCCTTTCAAGGTCCTGGAGCGGCCTTCCAAGATCCTGGAGCGGCCTTTCCAGGTCCTGGAGCGGCCTTTCCAGGTCCTGGAGCGGCCTTTCCAGGTCCTGGAGCGGCATTTCCAGGTCCTGGAGCGGCCTTCCAAGGTCCTGGAGCGGCCTTCCAAGGTCCTGGAGCGGCCTTCCAAGGTCCTGGAGCGGCCTTTCAAGGTCCTGGAGCGGCCTCAGTCTCCACATCTCAGAGAACATCTTTGGAGGCAGCCCCAAAACACCACTGCTCTAGAGGAGGTCTGCAGGAGGAATGGGCCAAAATACCAGCAAACCAGCAACAGTGAAAACCTTGTGAAGACTTACAGGAAATGTTTGAGATATGTCATTGCCAACAAATGGAATATAACAAAGTACTGAGATGAACTTTTGTTATTGACCAAAAAATTTTCAAAAATACGATTTTCATTTTTTTTTCATCCAATAATTTGATTTTCTGGATTTGTTTTTCTCATTCTGTTTCTAGTTGAGGTTTATCAGGATGATCGTCTGTTTAAGTGGGAGAACTTTCACAACTGGTGCTGAGTAAATACTTTTTGTCCCACTGTGTAATGAGAGTGAACCAGTCATCAGAGGCCAGAACTACAGAGCTTCAGCTTCAGTAAGAGATGTGTTAGATTCATGAACAGCAGATTATATAGATTTACACTAGAGTCAAACAGTAACAAGAAAACATCCAGCTACAACAGTGTTTAAATGATTCAAGAGAGAGACCAGAGAGAGACCAAAGACCAGAGAGACTGAGACCAGAGATAGACCAGAGAGAGACCAAAGACCAGAGAGACTGAGACCAGAGAGAGACCAGAGAGAGACCAGAGTGAGACCAGAGTGAGACCAGAGTGAGACCAGAGAGAGACCAGAGAGAGAGACCAGCATGAGAGCAGAGAGAGACCAGAGTAAGAACAGAGAGAGAGACTAGAAAGAGACCAGAGAGAGACCAGAGTGAGACCAGAGAGAGACCAGAGTGAGACCAGAGTGAGCCCAGAGAGAGAGAGACCAGAGTGAGACAGAGTAGTGAGTCGCAGTCCTATGAAAGTAAACAAGGAGGACATGGATCAGGGCAGATTACATCAGAGACTGTGGTTTCGTGGTTTGAATAGTTGAGATTCCCTCAAAAGGTCTCACTCCTGAGCCTTCACTGACCTCTGCTGGACACAGCCATGTACTGCAGTCTGCATCACATCAACAAACCATTAAAGCTCGGGTACCCAACTTTCTTTGTCCAACAGAAAGAGTAAAAGTAAGGTGTGAATCAGACCACAACATAACAATAATAATGATAATAGTAATAATATGGTTTATACAGCGGTTTATTCATTCACTCCAAACACTGTGTTAATAACTACTGTAGCCACAGCTGCCCTGGGGCACACTGACAGAAGCGAGGCAACCAGTCCGTGCCATCTGAAGTAAACTAATCCACGTTACATACCCCAGCTTTAAGTACAGAAACAATCATTTTAATCCAGCCTCTAAAACACGCTTGAAAAGGTATTGTGTCGCCCCCTGGTGGACAGAGCAGCCACTGAAAGTCTGTGGTCACCTGGTCCTAACCACGAAGCACTGACCTGTCGGATGGCCGCCTCACCTGGTCCTAACAATGAAGCACTGACCTGTCTGATGGCCGTCTCACCTGGTCCTAACCATGAAGCACTGACCTGTCGGATGGCCGTCTCACCTGGTCCTAACCATAAAGAACTGACCTGTCGGATGGCCGTCTCACCTGGTCCTAACCATGAAGAACTGACCTGTCAGATGGCCGTCTCACCTGGTCCTAACCATGAAGCACTCACCTGTCGGATGGCCGTCTCACCTGGTCCTAACCATGAAGCACTGACCTGTCGGATGGCCGTCTCACCTGGTCCTAACCATGAAGCACTGACCTGTCTGATGGCCGTCTCACCTGGTCCTAACCATGAAGCACTGACCTGTCGGATGGCCGTCTCACCTGGTCCTAACCATGAAGGCCTCTCACCTGATCCTAACATACTGGCTTCTCACCTGGTCCTAACCATGAAGCACTGACCTGTCTGATGGCCGTCTCACCTGGTCCTAACCATGAAGGCCTCTCACCTGATCCTAACATACTGGCTTCTCACCTGGTCCTAACCACGAAGCACTGACCTGTCTGATGGCCGTCTCACCTGGTCCTAACCATGAAGCACTGACCTGTCGGATGGCCGTCTCACCTGGTCCTAACCTCAAAGCACTGACCTGTCGGATGGCCGCCTCACCTGGTCCTAACAATGAAGCACTAACCTGTCTGATGGCCGTCTCACCTGGTCCTAACCATGAAGCACTGACCAGTCGGATGGCCGTCTCACCTGGTCCTAACCATGAAGCACTGACCTGTCTGATGGCCGTCTCACCTGGTCCTAACCATGAAGCACTGACCTGTCTGATGGCCGTCTCACCTGGTCCTAACCATGAAGCACTGACCTGTCGGATGGCCGTCTCACCTGGTCCTAACCATGAAGCACTGACCTGTCTGATGGCCGTCTCACCTGGTCCTAACCATGAAGGCCTCTCACCTGATCCTAACATACTGGCCTCTCACCTGGTCCTAACCACGAAGCACTGACCTGTCGGATGGCCGTCTCACCTGGTCCTAACCATGAAGGCCTCTCACCTGATCCTAACATACTGGCTTCTCACCTGGTCCTAACCATGAAGCACTGACCTGTCGGATGGCCGTCTCACCTGGTCCTAACCATGAAGCACTGACCTGTCGGATGGCCGTCTCTCCGATCTTGTCCGAGTGTTTGCGGATACTTTCCAGAAAGTCTCGGAGCTGAGTCATGGCCGTGTCTCGGATCTGGGAGCGCAGAGTCGGGATGTTCTGGGCCATGATGGAACAGAACCGGTACTGACCAACACGAGGGAGGCAGCTCTGCTCCAGCTGGTCCAGGGTGCACAGGGCGGGGTAGTACCTGAAGGAGAGAGAGGAGGTAAGACCAGCAGGAGAGGGAGAGAGAGGAGGTAAGACCAGCAGGAAAGGAGAGAGAGACAGAGAAGAGACCGAGAGAGAGACCAGAGAGAGACCAGAAAGAGACCAGAAAGAGACCAGAAAGAGACCAGACAGAGACCAGACAGAGACCAGAAAGAGACCAGAAAGAGACCAGAGAGAGACCAGAGAGAGACCAGAAAGAAACCAGACAGAAACCAGACAGAGACCAGAGACAAAGACCAGAGTGAGACCAGAGAGAGACCAGAGAGAGACAAGAGAGAGACAAGAGAGAGGCCAGAGAGAGACCAGAGAGAGAGACCAGAGAGAGAGACCAGAGAGAGACCAGAGAGAGACCAAAGAGAGACCAGAGAGAAACTAGAGGCCAGAGAGAGACCAGAAAGGGGAGCTATCAGGAGCAGCGGGAGAAAACCAAAGCAGACACAAGGAGAACATGCAAACTCCACTCAGAAAGACCCTGAATGGAGGCTGAGAGGGCTAACCACTCAGCCACACTCTCCTCTCTCTCTCCTCATGTTTGTGGTCTCTCTCTCTGGTCTCTCTCTCTCTGGTCTCTCTCTCTCTGGTCTCTCTCTCTCTGGTCTCTCTCTGGTCTCTCTCTGGTCTCTCTCTGGTCTCTCTCTCTCTGGTCTCTCTCTCTGGTCTCTCTCTCTCTGGTCCCTCTCTCTCTGGTCCCTCTCTCTCTCTGGTCTCTCTCTCTCTGGTCCCTCTCTCTCTGGTCCCTCTCTCTCTCTGGTCCCTCTCTCTCTCTCTGGTCTCTCTCTCTCTCTCTGGTCTCTCTCTCTCTCTCTGGTCTCTCTCTCTCTCTCTGGTCTCTTTCTCTCTGGTCTCTCTCTCTCTCTGGTCTCTCTCTCTCTCAGGTCTCTCTCTCTCTCTTTCTCTCTCTCTCTCTCTGGTCTCTCTCTCTCTCTGGTCTCTCTCTCTCTCTGGTCTCTCTCTCTCTCTGGTCTCTCTCTCTCTCTGGTCTCTCTCTCTCTCTGGTCTCTCTCTCTCTCTGGTCTCTCTCTCTCTGGTCTCTCTCTCTGGTCTCTCTCTCTCTGGTCTCTCTCTCTCTGGTCTCTCGCTCTCTGGTCTCTCGCTCTCTGGTCTCTCTCTCTCTGGTCTCTCTCTCTGGTCTCTCTCTATTCTCTCTCTCTCTGTTCTCTCTCTCTGGTCTCTCTCTCTCTGGTCCCTCTCTCTCTGGTCCCTCTCTCTCTGGTCCCTCTCTCTCTCTGGTCTCTCTCTCTCTGGTCTCTCTCTCTCTGGTCTCTCTCTCTCTGGTCTCTCTCTCTCTCTCTGGTCTCTTTCTCTCTGGTCTCTCTCTCTCTCTGGTCTCTCTCTCTCTCTGGTCTCTCTCTCTGGTCTCTCTCTCTCTCTGGTCTCTCTCTCTCTCTGGTCTCTCTCTCTCTCTGGTCTCTCTCTCTCTCTGGTCTCTCTCTCTCTCTGGTCTCTCTCTCTCTCTGGTCTCTCTCTCTCTCTGGTCTCTCTCTCTCTCTGGTCTCCCCCTCTCTCTCTGGTCTCCCTCTCTCTCTGGTCTCCCTCTCTCTCTGGTCTCTCTCTCTCTCTGGTCTCTCTCTCTGGTCTCTCTCTCTGGTCTCTCTCTCTGGTCTCTCTCTCTGGTCTCTCTCTCTGGTCTCTCTCTCTGGTCTCTCTCTCTCTGGTCTCTCTCTCTCTGGTCTCTCTCTCTCTGGTCTCTCTCTCTGATCTCTCTCTCTGGTCTCTCACCTTGAGTTTGAGGGCTTCTCCCCTGACTTTGAGCAGTTCTGTGATAGAGTCCACGAAGCCCTGGAAGTGGTGGTTACACATCTTCTCGATCTCTCGGTCGTGGTTCCGGATCCGAGCGTCCAGTTTCTCCATGAACAGGCCATGCTCCTGCCCATCGTACACCGACCTGCGGGGGCCACAAGGGGGAGAGGGTGAGGGAGGAGGCCACAGGGGGAGACTGTGAGGGAGGAGGTCACAGGGGGAGACTGTGAGGGAGGAGGTCACAGGGGGAGACTGTGAGGGAGGAGGTCACAGGGGGAGACTGAGGGAGGGGGTCACAGGGGGAGACTGAGGGAGGAGGTCACAGGGGGAGACTGAGGGAGGGGGTCACAGGGGGAGACTGTGAGGGAGGAGGTCACAGGGGGAGACGGTGAGGGAGGAGGTCACAGGGGGAGACTGAGGGAGGGGGTCACAGGGGGAGACTGTGAGGGAGGAGGTCACAGGGGGAGACGGTGAGGGAGGAGGTCACAGGGGGAGACTGTGAGGGAAGAGGTCACAGGGGGGAGACGGTGAGGGAGGAGGTCACAGGGGGAGACGGTGAGGGAGGAGGTCACAGGGGGAGACTGTGAGGGAGGAGGTCACAGGGGGAGACGGTGAGGGAGGAGGTCACAGGGGGAGACTGAGGGAGGGGGTCACAGGGGGAGACTGTGAGGGAGGAGGTCACAGGGGGAGACGGTGAGGGAGGAGGTCACAGGGGGAGACTGAGGGAGGGGGTCACAGGGGGAGACTGTGAGGGAGGAGGTCACAGGGGGAGACGGTGAGGGAGGAGGTCACAGGGGGAGACTGTGAGGGAGGAGGTCACAGGGGGAGACTGTGAGGGAAGAGGTCACAGGGGGGAGACGGTGAGGGAGGAGGTCACAGGGGGAGACGGTGAGGGAGGAGGTCACAGGGGGAGACTGTGAGGGAGGAGGTCACAGGGGGAGACGGTGAGGGAGAAGGTCACAGGGGGAGACTGTGAGGGAGGAGGTCACAGGGGGAGACGGTGAGGGAGGAGGTCACAGGGGGAGACTGAGGGAGGGGGTCACAGGGGGAGACTGTGAGGGAGGAGGTCACAGGGGGAGACGGTGAGGGAGGAGGTCACAGGGGGAGACTGTGAGGGAAGAGGTCACAGGGGGGAGACGGTGAGGGAGGAGGTCACAGGGGAGACGGTGAGGGAGGAGGTCACAGGGGGAGACTGTGAGGGAGGAGGTCACAGGGGGAGACGGTGAGGGAGGAGGTCACAGGGGGAGACTGAGGGAGGGGGTCACAGGGGGAGACTGTGAGGGAGGAGGTCACAGGGGGAGACGGTGAGGGAGGAGGTCACAGGGGGAGACTGAGGGAGGGGGTCACAGGGGGAGACTGTGAGGGAGGAGGTCACAGGGGGAGACGGTGAGGGAGGAGGTCACAGGGGGAGACTGTGAGGGAAGAGGTCACAGGGGGGAGACGGTGAGGGAGGAGGTCACAGGGGGAGACGGTGAGGGAGGAGGTCACAGGGGGAGACGGTGAGGGAGAAGGTCACAGGGGGAGACTGTGAGGGAGGAGGTCACAGGGGGAGACTGTGAGGGAGGAGGTCACAGGGGGAGACGGCGAGGGAGGAGGTCACAGGGGGAGACTGAGGGAGGAGGTCACAGGGGGGGACGGTGAGGGAGGAGGTCACAGGGGGAGACGGTGAGGGAGGAGGTCACAGGGGGAGATTGTGAGGGAGGAGGTCACAGGGGGAGATTGTGAGGGAGGAGGTCACAGGGGGAGACGGTGAGGGAGGAGGTCACAGGGGGAGACTGTGAGGGAGGGGGTCACAGGGGGAGACGGTGAGGGAGGAGGTCACAGGGAGACGGTGAGGGAGGAGGTCACAGGGGGAGACTGTGAGGGAGGAGGTCACAGGGGGAGACTGTGAGGGAGGAGGTCACAGGGAGACGGTGAGGGAGGAGGTCACAGGGAGACGGTGAGGGAGGAGGTCACAGGGGGAGACGGCGAGGGAGGAGGTCACAGGGGGAGACTGAGGGAGGAGTTCACAGGGAGACTGTGAGGGAGGAGGTCACAGGGGGAGACTGTGAGGGAGGAGGTCACAGGGGGAGACTGTGAGGGAGGAGGTCACAGGGGGAGACTGTGAGGGAGGAGGTCACAGGGGGAGACTGTGAGGGAGGAGGTCACAGGGGGAGACTGTGAGGGAGGAGGTCACAGGGGGAGACTGTGAGGGAGGAGGTCACAGGGGGAGACTGTGAGGGAGGAGGTCACAGGGAGACGGTGAGGGAGGAGGTCACAGGGAGACGGTGAGGGAGGAGGTCACAGGGGGAGACGGTGAGGGAGGAGGTCACAGGGGGAGACTGTGAGGGAAGAGGTCACAGGGGGGAGACGGTGAGGGAGGAGGTCACAGGGGGGAGACGGTGAGGGAGGAGGTCACGGGGAGACTGTGAGGGAGGAGGTCACAGGGGGAGACGGCGAGGGAGGAGGTCACAGGGGGAGACTATGAGGGAGGAGGTCACAGGGGGAGACGGTGAGGGAGGAGATCACAGGGGGAGACTGTGAGGGAGGAGGTCACAGGGGGAGACGGTGAGGGAGGAGGTCACAGGGGGAGACTGTGAGGGAGGAGGTCACAGGGGGGAGACGGTGAGGGAGGAGGTCACAGGGGGAGACGGTGAGGGAGGAGGTCACAGGGGGAGACTGTGAGGGAGGAGGTCACAGGGGGAGACGGTGAGGGAGAAGGTCACAGGGGGAGACTGTGAGGGAGGAGGTCACAGGGGGAGACGGTGAGGGAGGAGGTCACAGGGGGAGACGGTGAGGGAGGAGGTCACAGGGGGAGATTGTGAGGGAGGAGGTCACAGGGGGAGACGGTGAGGGAGGAGGTCACAGGGGGAGACTGTGAGGGAGGGGGTCACAGGGGGAGACGGTGAGGGAGGAGGTCACAGGGGGAGACGGTGAGGGAGGAGGTCACAGGGGGAGACTGTGAGGGAGGGGGTCATAGGGGGAGACGGTGAGGGAGGAGGTCACAGGGGGAGACTGTGAGGGAGGAGGTCACAGGGGGAGACGGTGAGGGAGGAGGTCACAGGGGGAGATTGTGAGGGAGGAGGTCACAGGGGGAGACGGTGAGGGAGGAGGTCACAGGGGGAGACTGTGAGGGAGGGGGTCACAGGGGGAGACGGTGAGGGAGGAGGTCACAGGGGGAGACGGTGAGGGAGGAGGTCACAGGGGGAGACGGTGAGGGAGGAGGTCACAGGGGGAGACGGTGAGGGAGGAGGTCACAGGGGGAGACGGTGAGGGAGGAGGTCACAGGGGGAGACTGTGAGGGAGGGGGTCATAGGGGGAGACGGTGAGGGAGGAGGTCACAGGGGGAGACGGTGAGGGAGGAGGTCACAGGGGGAGACTTTGAGGGAGGAGGTCACAGGGAGACGGTGAGGGAGGAGGTCACAGGGGGAGACTGTGAGGGAGGAGGTCACAGGGGGAGACTGTGAGGGAGGAGGTCACAGGGAGACGGTGAGGGAGGAGGTCACAGGGAGACGGTGAGGGAGGAGGTCACAGGGGGAGACGGCGAGGGAGGAGGTCACAGGGGGAGACTGAGGGAGGAGGTCACAGGGAGACGGTGAGGGAGGAGGTCACAGGGGGAGACTGTGAGGGAGGAGGTCACAGGGGGAGACTGTGAGGGAGGAGGTCACAGGGGGAGACTGTGAGGGAGGAGGTCACAGGGAGACGGTGAGGGAGGAGGTCACAGGGAGACTGTGAGGGAGGAGGTCACAGGGGGAGACGGCGAGGGAGGAGGTCACAGGGGGAGACTGTGAGGGAGGAGGTCACAGGGGGAGACGGTGAGGGAGGAGGTCACAGGGGGAGACGGTGAGGGAGGAGGTCACAGGGGGAGAGGGTGAGGGAGGAGGTCACACTGATGCAGAGTGAGAGGTGAACCAAAGTTACTAATGTAACTATGGTTCTATGAATCCACCAGTGGCAGTGCTTAAGTAGAAACAGTGCCGGAGCAGAGAGCACTGTCCAGAGCCTCCTGCATCAGAGGAACCGCTCTAGGGGCGTTCACACCGGACTTAACTTCGGCGTCAAAAGCGTCAGGTTTCCATTGAAAGTGAATGGTGAAGCGCGTCAGGTGAAGCCGAGAGCCCCGGCGTCACTTGACGCGCGTCAAAAGCTTCAAGAGTTGCGCGTACTACGCGCTCACTTGAAGCTTTTGACGCGCGAAACGCTCGCGTATCACAACAATCCCTTTGACGCCGAAGTTGAGCAAAGCTGAGCTTTTGAAGCTTTGACGCGGGCTTCAACCAATCAGGAGACGAGGAGCAGCAGCAGCAGCAGAGGGTCTGTCTCTGTCATGAAGAGAAGTCATGTATCTGCTGCTGCTATTTTATTGTCATTATTGTTATTAGTAATATTATTTGTATGAGTAGTAACATTCTGAGTAACAAAAATCATTGTACACATGCTGTGTAGTAAACGTAGTTTATTTAATATAAGAACAGGCTGACGATGAGTCTGGCTCAGAGCAAGGCAGCTGCGGGCGGGCGAGAGCCGGGGAGAGGCAGGGAGAGGCGAGCGAGAGGCAGGGGAGAGGCGAGCGAGAGGCAGGGAGAGGCGGGAAGAGGCAGGGAGAGGCGAGAGAGAGCCGGGGAGAGGCAGGGAGAGGCGAGCGAGAGGCAGGGGAGAGGCGAGCGAGAGGCAGGGAGAGGCGGGAAGAGGCAGGGAGAGGCGAGAGAGAGCCGGGGAGAGGCAGGCGAGAGCCGGGGAGAGGCAGGGAGAGGCGAGCGAGAGCCGGGGAGAGGCAGGGAGAGGCGGGCGAGAGCCGGGGAGAGGCAGGGAGAGGCGAGGGAGAGCCGAGGAGCGGCAGGGAGAGGCGAGCGAGAGCCGGGGAGAGGCAGGGAGAGGCGAGCGAGAGCCGGGGAGAGGCAGGGAGAGGCGAGCGAGAGCCGGGGAGAGGCAGGGAGAGGCGAGCGAGAGCCGGGGAGAGGCAGGGAGAGGCGAGCGAGAGCCGGGGAGAGGCAGGGAGAGGCGAGCGAGAGCCGGGGAGAGGCAGGGAGAGGCGAGCGAGAGCCGGGGAGAGGCAGGGAGAGGCGAGCGAGAGCCGGGGAGAGGCAGGGAGAGGCGAGCGAGAGCCGGGGAGAGGCGAGCGAGAGGCAGGGAGAGGCGGGAAGAGGCAGGGAAGAGGCAGGGAAGAGGCAGGGAGAGGCAGGGAAGATGCAGGGAAGATGCAGGGAAGAGGCAGGGAGCGGCAGGGAGAGGCGGGAAGAGGCAGGGAAGAGGCAGGGAGAGGCAGGGAGAGGCAGGAAGATGCAGGAAGATGCAGGAGAGAGGCAGGGAGAGGCGGGAAGAGGCAGGGAAGAGGCAGGGAGAGGCAGGAAGATGCAGGGAAGATGCAGGGAAGAGGCAGGGAAGAGGCAGGGAGAGGCAGGGAGAGGCAGGGAGAGGCAGGGAGAGGCAGGGAGAGGCGAGCTCCGGGGTTTGAGAACTCAGACTGGGCGAGTGACATGCAGAAGTACCGCTGGCGAGCGAGAGCCGGGGAGAGGCAGGGAGAGGCGAGCGAGAGCCGGGGAGAGGCAGGGAGAGGCGAGCGAGAGCCGGGGAGAGGCGAGCGAGAGGCAGGGAGAGGCGGGAAGAGGCAGGGAAGAGGCAGGGAAGAGGCAGGGAGAGGCAGGGAAGATGCAGGGAAGAGGCAGGGAGCGGCAGGGAGAGGCGGGAAGAGGCAGGGAAGAGGCAGGGAGAGGCAGGGAGAGGCAGGAAGATGCAGGAAGATGCAGGAGAGAGGCAGGGAGAGGCGGGAAGAGGCAGGGAAGAGGCAGGGAGAGGCAGGAAGATGCAGGGAAGATGCAGGGAAGAGGCAGGGAGAGGCAGGGAGAGGCAGGGAGAGGCAGGGAAGAGGCAGGGAGAGGCGGGGAGAGGCGAGCTCCGGGGTTTGAGAACTCAGACTGGGCGAGTGACATGCAGAAGTACCGCTGAAAGCGAAACTCCTCCGTACGCAGCTCCTGGAGTAAATGACGGAACTCTGCAAACACTGCAGCCTCTCAAGTCTGTGGTGAACCCAGAACATGTTTTGTTGAAGCCCTACAACAACGTTATTTTGCTTTATATAACAAATAAAGGCTCGCTGCTCATTGAAAAGTCCACCGCTGTCCTGACTACAGGCAACAGAGAAGCTCCTCCCACAGGCAACAGAGAAGCTCCTCCCACCGGCGTCAGGCGCGTCACTCGCGTCAAAAGCTTCAAGTACCAAAATGACAAAACTATCCCGGCGTCAGTTGTAACGCGTCAAAAGCTTTTTGAAGCTTTTGGTCTGAACGCGCCTTTAGAACCGAGTGAGAGAACAAGTGAGAAACCTCGGGGAGACCACATTGAGGAATCTGCTCAATATTTTAATCATGAACAGCACTAATATAAATGTAGATATAAGTTTGTGTTTTAAAGAGCCGTAACATTATATGGAGTATAAATATATTTTAGGGGGGGGCGATAGTAGCTCAGTTGGTAGAGCATTGGCCTTAAGGCCTGAAGGTCGTGGGTTCAATTCCCACCTCTGCACCTTCTCCACCGACTCCCACTGATGACTGCTGTCGTTGTGTCCTTGGGCAAGACACTTAACCCCACTTTGCCCAAAGCCCCCACTGAAAGATCAAGGCTATGCTCACACTCAGAGAGCAGCCGTCCTCCTGTGGACTCACCACCTGCAGAGGGTCAGTGAGGGGCTGGTGCTATGAGACTTGGGTGGCATCTCTGACTGCCACCCCCCTGACCCAGAAATGGATTAAAGGGAAGAAGATGGATGGATGGAAATATATTTTACTCTAATTATTTTCCATGTACTTGTGTTTCCTGCTGTCCTTGTTCTGTCTGTCGTTATGTTGACTGTGTCTGAGCTAAAATGTCAAATTAAATATCTAAAAAATCAAAGATGAAGCACAAAAAGACGAGGATTTTGTAAATTTAGACTCTTTGAACTTTCATTCTTCAGCTGCTAAAGCCTCTCTGTGATAATAAGAATAATGAAGTCTGCCTCCGTTTGTCTCCCCCTCTGCTCTCTCCCTCTCCTCTCCCTCTCCTCTCCCTCTGCTCTCTCCCTCTCCTCTCCCTCCAGTGTCTCCCTCTCCTCCCTCCTCTTCTCTCTCTCCTCTCTCCCTCTTCTCTCTCTCCTCTCTCCCTCTCCTCTCTCTCTCTCCCTCTTCTCTCCCTCCCTCCTCACCTGCTCCTTCCGGTCCTGGAGGAAGTGTCCGGAGCTCAGACCACAATAGAATCTGACGCAGCTTTAGCCACAAACACAAACAGAAGTCTACTGCTTTTATAACACAAGGTCACTGAGGCAGAGGAAGACTGAGGCAGAGGAAGACTGAGGCAGAGGAAGACTGAGGCAGAGGAAGACTGAGGCAGAGGAAGACTGAGGCAGAGGAAGACTGAGGCAGAGGAAGACTGAGGCAGAGGAAGAATGAGGCAGAGGAAGACTGAGGCAGAGGAAGACTGAGACAGAGGAAGACTGAGACAGAGGAAGACTGAGGCAGAGGAAGACTGAGGCAGAGGAAGACTGAGGCAGAGGAAGACTGAGGCAGAGGAAGACTGAGGCAGAGGAAGACTGAGGCAGAGGAAGAATGAGGCAGAGGAAGACTGAGGCAGAGGAAGACTGAGACAGAGGAAGACTGAGACAGAGGAAGACTGAGGCAGAGGAAGACTGAGGCAGAGGAAGACTGAGACAGAGGAAGACTGAGAAAGAGGAAACGCTCCCAAAGACTCTCTGCTTTTGAACCAATCCTCTACATATATGCAGACTGACCAGAGAGAGACCAGAGAGAGACCAGAGAGAGAGACCAGAGAGAGAGACCAGAGAGAGAGACCAGAGAGAGAGACCAGAGAGAGACCAGAGAGAGAGACCAGAGAGAGACCAGAGAGAGACCAGGGAGAGACCAGGGAGAGAGCAGAAAGAGACCAGAGAGAGACCACAGAGAAAAACTAGAGAGAAAATAGAGAGAGACCAGAGACCAGAGAGAGAGACCACAGAGAGGGATCAGAGACAGACCAGAGAGAGAGACCAGAGAGAGAGACCAGAGAGAGACCAAAGAGAGACCACAGAGAGAGACCAGAGAGAGACCAAAGAGAGACCACAGAGAGGGACCGAGAGAGACCAAAGAGAGACCAGAGAGAGACCAGAAAGAAAGAGACCAGAGAGAGACCAAAGAGAGACAAGAGAGAGAGACCAGAGAGACAAAAAATACATGCATGTGAAAACTAGTGATAGAAATAAACTGTTTTAGAGCCATGAGCAATGAAATGGACTTAATCATATAGCAATATTTTCTCGTGGTTTGAAAGTTACGTACCCCAGCTTTAAGGACAGCACTTTACTGAGACAGAGACATTTTGTTTAATGCTGGGGATTCCTCAAATCTGCTGCTCTAACAGATCTGAGCCGCATGAGAAGTGTAAGAGGCTCTTAACCCACTTCAGAGATGAGTCAGCAGAGACTGAAGCAGAGACTGAGGCAGAGACTGAAGCAGAGACTGAGGCAGAGACTGAGGCAGAGACTGAAGCAGAGACTGAGGCAGAGACTGAGGCAGAGACTGAGGCAGAGACTGAGGCAGAGACTGAGGCAGAGACTGAGGCAGAGACTGAGGCAGAGACTGAAGCAGAGACTGAAGCAGAGACTGAAGCAGAGACTGAAGCAGAGACTGAAGCAGAGACTGAGGCAGAGACTGAGGCAGAGACTGAGGCAGAGACTGAAGCAGAGACTGAAGCAGAGACTGAGGCAGAGACTGAGGCAGAGACTGAGGCAGAGACTGAGGCAGAGACTGAGGCAGAGACTGAGGCAGAGACTGAGGCAGAGACTGAGGCAGAGACTGAGGCAGAGACTGAAGCAGAGACTGAGGCAGAGACTGAAGCAGAGACTGAAGCAGAGACTGAAGCAGAGACTGAAGCAGAGACTGAGGCAGAGACTGAAGCAGAGACTGAGGCAGAGACTGAGGCAGAGACTGAGGCAGAGACTGAGGCAGAGACTGAGGCAGAGACTGAGGCAGAGACTGAAGC